GGGGGGCTCACCCGAAATTTGGGGGGCTCACCTGGATTTTGGGGGGCTCACCCGAAATTTGGGGGACTCACCTGGATTTTGGGGGGCTCACCCGAAATTTGGGGGGCTCACCCGGGGGATTTTGGGCTCCCACCTGGGGGTTTTGGCTCACCTGGGTTTGGGGGTCACCTGAGGGGTCTCTCCCAGGATTTTGGGGGTTCTTTGTCTGGATTTTGGGGTCTCTCTCTCCCAGGATTTTGGTCTCTCTCTCCCAGGATTTTGGGGTCTCTCTCTCTCCCAGGATTCTGGGGTTTTTCTCCCAGGATTTTGGGGGTTTTTCTCCCAGGATTTTGGTCTCTCTCTCCCAGGATTTTGGGGTTTTTCTCCCAGGATTTTGGGGGTTTTCTCCCAGGATTTTGGGGGTGTCTCTCCCAGGATTTTGGTCTCTCTCTCCCAGGATTTTGGGGGTCTCTCTCTCCCAGAATTTTGGGGGTTTTCTCCCAGGATTTTGGGGGTTTTCTCCCAGGATTTTGGTCTCTCTCTCCCAGGATTTTGGGGGTTTTCTCCCAGGATTTTGGGGGTTTTCTCCCAGGATTTTGGTCTCTCTCTCCCAGGATTTTGGTCTCTCTCTCCCAGGATTTTGGGGGTTTTCTCCCAGGATTTTGGGGGTTTTCTCCCAGGATTTTGGTCTCTCTCTCCCTGGATTTTGGGGCCTCTCTCCCAGGATTTTGGGGGTTTTCTCCCAGGATTTTGGGGTCTCTCTCCCAGGATTTTGGGGGTTTTCTCCCAGGATTTTGGGGTGTCTCTCCCAGGATTTTGGGGGTTTTCTCCCAGGATTTTGGGGTCTCTCTCCCAGGATTTTGGGGGTTTTCTCCCAGGATTTTGGGGTCTCTCTCTCCCAGGATTTTGGGGCCTCTCTCCCAGGATTTTGGGGTGTCTCTCCCAGGATTTTGGTCTCTCTCTCCCAGGATTTTGGTCTCTCTCTCCCAGGATTTTGGGGATTTTCTCCCAGGATTCTGGGGTCTCTCTCCCAGGATTTTGGTCTCTCTCTCCCAGGATTTTGGGGATTTTCTCCCAGGATTCTGGGGTCTCTCTCCCAGGATTTTGGGGTCTCTCTCCCAGGATTCTGGGGGTTTTCTCCCAGGATTTTGGGGTCTCTCTCTCAGGATTTTGGGGTCTCTCTCTCCCAGGATTCTGCGGGTTTTCTCCCAGGATTTTGGGGGTTTTCTCCCAGGATTTTGGTGTCTCTCTCCCAGGATTTTGGTCTCTCTCTCCCAGGATTTTGGTCTCTCTCTCCCAGGATTCTGGGGATTTTCTCCCAGGATTTTGGGCTCTCTCTCCCAGGATTCTGGGGGTTTTCTCCCAGGATTCTGGGGTTTTTCTCCCAGGATTTTGGGGTCTCTCTCCCAGGATTCTGGGGGTTTTCTCCCAGGATTCTGGGGATTTTCTCCCAGAATTTTGGGGGTTTTCTCCCAGGATTCTGGGGGTTTTCTCCCAGGATTTTGGGGTTTTTCTCCCAGGATTCTGGGGGTTTTCTCCCAGGATTTTGGGGTTTCCTCACAGGATTCTGGGGGTTTTCTCCCAGGATTCTTGGGTCTCTCTCTCCCAGGATTTTGGGGTCTCTCTCCCAGGATTCTGGGGTCTCTCTCTCCCAGGATTTTGGGGTCTCTCTCTCCCAGGATTCTGGGGATTTTCTCCCAGGATTCTGGGGTTTTTCTCCCAGGATTCTGGGGGTTTTTCTCCCAGGATTCTGGGGGTTTTTCTCCCAGGATTCTGGGGATTTTCTCCCAGGATTCTGGGGATTTTCTCCCAGGATTCTGGGGGTTTCCTCACAGGATTCTGGGGGTTTTCTCCCAGGATTTTGGGGTTTTTCTCCCAGGATTCTGGGGATTTTCTCCCAGGATTCTGGGGTTTTTCTCCCAGGATTTTGGGGTCTCTCTCTCCCAGGATTTTGGGCTCTCTCTCTCCCAGGATTTTGGGGTCTCTCTCTCCCAGGATTTTGGGGGTTTTCTCCCAGGATTCTGGGGTTTTCTCCCAGGATTCTGGGGATTTTCTCCCAGGATTCTGGGGATTTTCTCCCAGGATTTGGGGTCCCCCGGTGGATTTTGGGGCTCACCTGAGTAGCGGCCGGCCAGCGAGAGCACGGCGCCCTCCTCGCCGGGGCGCCGGTGGTAGACGAGCTCGGCGCCCAGCGCCAGCTGCGGCGTCACGCTCTGCAGGTAGTGCGCCACCAGGATCCCTGCGCGCGTTTTGGGGGGAATTCAGCGGGATTTGGGAAATTCGGGACAAACTCAGGGGATCGGGGGA